ATAAATAAGTTGCGTTTGTTTATTTTGTTTTAATCCAAGACTACACAATGATCTACCTAAGTTCTGTCCACCACGGGGAATCAAACCCCGGATTTTAGTGTTGTAAATCCGTAAACTTATCGCTGATCCATCGGGAAACACACGAGATGTGAATCGTTATTTTAATTATAATTCTATTATAGTTACTGATATATATTTATATATGTCTGTAAAATAAACTGGATGGGACGCTGCTTAGTTGTTATTGTGCCAGGAATTTGAATCCGAAAATTCGTGGCTCGCAACTCTTTACTGCAAAAACGCACTTTGCTCTGCATTTAGTTGTCGTGAGTGAATTAGGGACGGCTATATGCAGTTAACTCTTGTGTATACATATGAATATACAATTTTGCTCAGAAGTCTGAACTAGACAAACAAGTTGTAAAAAACAGAACCAAATCATAAAGCATAATGTAAATCTTTGGGTTTAAAAATATCCCTTGCTAGAGGGCTACAGATTACGCAGTTCATAGAGAAAGGCTTAAATACCCCTTTTTTCAATTAGGTAAAGAAAGATCAACATAAACTAATATGAAGGCCCGGCATGCCCAGGTGGTTAGGGCGCTCGACTCGCAATCTGCGGGTCGCGGGTTCGAATCCCGTCACACAAAATATGCTCGCCCTTTCAGCCGTAGGGGCGTTATAATGTGATGGTCAATCCAACTAGTCGTTGGTAAAAGAGTAGCCCAAGAGTTGGCTGTGGGTGGTGATGACTAGCTGCCTTTTCTCAAGTCTTACACTGTTAAATTAGGGACGGCTAGCGCAGATAGCTCTCGTGTAGCTTTGCGCAAAATTCAAAACAAACAAGCAAACTAATATGAAAGATGGCATTAAATAGACATATCGATCTAACATGCTACTACATGCTCCACCTCATTAAAATTTAATACCTTAACTATCATTCTTTCTGCTGATTATGAAAAAGAGGTTTAAGGCTTTTTTTTTCTCTCTCTTCAATTTTGCATAATTATTTGCATTTGCTTATGTAAATAAAACTTGTTTATTATATTTTACCAAAGAGTTTTATAATTAAAATTTTTTATATATTTGGAGTGAAAATTCTGTATTTGTTCTGGACGCATTATTATTGTAGCTAATTAACACCTAAAAAAAAGGCAAAGAGTTGTAAAGCACAATTACTTGTTAACGTTTTAAACACATGACTTTTATAGAGCGAAAGTCAAGAGGTGCTTTGAGAAAATCTAATCATATCAATTTTATTATATGCTGAAGGTTTGATTGTGTTATATAGACATATTATACATCTCTCATACCAATAGAAAATTAATTCTGAAAAGAAATCAACAACATGTGATACCGTCATATAAACCTAGAAAGAATAAACTGTTCACTACTTTTGGATCAGTGGTAAATTTACGGACTTATAAAGCTTAAATCCGGGGTTCGATTCCTTTCCCCATGGTAAACAGAGCACAAATAGCCTGTTGTGTAGCTATGCACTAAAAAATCATAAAGCCAATAGGAAGACATGCAGTAAAACGGCTTTACTAGAAACGAAACAATGAGTATTGGTATTACAGTTTATAATAGTGAAAACACCTATTATGTATTACAATAAAACTTTGTGAAAAAATACAATAAATGAAATCGAATGGTTTGACAACTTAGGGAATTGAAAATTACTTTTTGTAAGACTTATCATTCGGGGTTATTTGTTTGAAAAAAAGTATTAAGAATAGAATGGTGAAATATCATTCCTATGTATTCCGTAATTTAATGTGGTAAATATACAGTTATTCTCGTATTCCGTAATTTAATGTGGTAAATATACATTTATTCTCGTATTCCGTGATTTAATGTGGTAGAGATACATTTATTCTCGTATTCCGTGATTTAATGTGGTAGAGATACATTTATTCTCGTATTCTGTAATTTAACGTGGTAAAGATACATTTATTCTCGTATTCCGTGATTCAATGTGGTAGCGATACATTTATTTTTGTATTCTGTAATTGAACGTGGTAAATATACATTTATTCTCGTATTCCGTGATTCAATGTGGTAGCGATACATTTATTTTTGTATTCTGTAATTGAACGTGGTAAAGATACATTTATTCTCGTATTCCGTGATTCAATGTGGTAGAGATACATTTATTCTTGTATTCCGCGATTTAACGTGATAGAGAGACATTGTTTCTGTAATTAAAACACTGTCCTTACAAGCACTTACACTTAGCATAGCCTGGTGGTTAGGGCACTTGACTCGCAACCTGCGAGTTGCAGGATCGAACCTCACTACCGAAAATGTTCACGCTTGCAGCAGTAGGGGAGTGGTGTTATACATGACACTCAGTACCACTATTTGTTAGTAAAGAGTAGCCTATGTTTGGCGATGGATGGTGTTGCCTAGCTGCCTTCCTTCTAGTTTATCACTTCAAAATTAAGGACGGATAGAGTAAGTAGTCATCCAGTAGCTCTCTACGAAATTCAGCAAACAAACAAGCACTTATGTGCTGTTTAGATTCACTGTTCACTGTTTACATAACCATAGACTGAGTTTATAATGGGAGAAATATTTTAAGGCGTATTTAAAAAGCGTGAACAGAGAGTTAAATGCATTTTATGTGAAAAATGTGTATGCATTATTGCAGTGGCATGTCGATGCAAGTGCCAGCCGTGGCGCCACGGGCGACATGTTTAGTACCATAATATTTGGTTCACTGAAATTTCCCGTCTGTTCTATATGCAGTTCTGCTTGGGCAACAGCTTCATCTACAAGGTGAGCTCTTTGCACACAAGCAAAAACATAGCGATGAAGCTGGGCATATCTCCTGGTAGTGTCAACAAGATAATGAAAAACGATTTTAAGTTGATAAAAGACTCATTTGTTAAAAGTTCATACGCTTCTGGCCACAACTAGAAATCAGTCAGGATAAAGATGGTCAAAGAACCACGTGCTTATCAAGTCTCCTATAATATCTCCAATGGAGTTTTGTGTTCTAGATTTGCTTATAACTTGTACAGCTACGTACAGTGGGGTTTTGTGGAAGGTTTGTCAAAATGCCTGACCTAAGATTAACCTCACTGTCTTTCGTTGTAGCTTGTTATAACTGTTACAAAGGAAATCGTGATGTGGAACAATAGTACATAATCATGATCATCAGACTTTAGCATGATTGGCAAAGGAAGAAATAGTTCAAAGGGCACACATACCAGTGTGGTGCACTAAAAATATTTATAGCGTGCCTTAATATTTCTAGGTACAACACAAATTAAGATTTTTATATTATTAAAACATTTCGAATTTAGAACAAAAACCATAATCTTACGAACATTTGATATGAAATTTTGGAGGATTTTAGGGCTGGTATTAGCCGGTGGTTAGGACACTCGACTCATAAGCTGTGAGTCGCGGGTTCAAATTCCGTCACCAAACATGCTCGTCCTTTCCGCAGTGGAAGCGTTATAATTTAATGAGCAATCTCACTTTTCGTTGATAAAGAAGTTGAGTAGCTGTCTTCCCTTTATTCTATTACCTCTAAATTAGGGACAACTAAAGCAGATAGCTCTAGAGTAGCTTTACGTGAAATTCGACAAACAAACAAGAGGAATTTAAATATCTTAGAACAACATTTTTTAAAGTGTGAAATGCTCACTTTTTTCAGAGAATAAAAATGATGAAAAATATGTTAAATAGTAGCACTAGAAAATTGTAGTTCAGCGCAAGAACCTATTGACTTAGAGCATGCATAATCCACCCATACCACGTTTATCAGTAGATTATGATGTAAATATAATAAAATCACATGTTAAAGTGTCCATCAATGTACGAACCAGGCGTGGCTTGATGGAAGCTTGTTGGGACTATGAATCCGAGGATACATAATTTGCAACCAGTTGCAGCAAATAAATGATCGGCATTTTGTGGCCATGGATGTGTTACAAAAGTGACAGTCAAATTCCACAATTTAGTCAGACAGAGTAGCTTAAGAGTTGGTGGTAGGTGCTGTTGACTAGCTGCTTTCCTTGTAATCTATCAGTTCAAAATTTTAGAGACAGCTATGCACAGATAGAGCTTTCCGAGAGAGCTATGAAACAAAC